GATGCGCTGGGGGCGCCCGGTGGCCAATCGGGCACGACAACCGGCCAGACGGCCCGGCACCCCCCCGGGCGACGGCCAGGCCGCCGGGTGGCCTGGGGACCAGCCTAGAAATAGACAACATTTGCCTGAGCATTACATCCAAATTCCTTCCCCAATTTGAAATAAAAATAGAATACAGAAAATAAAACTAAAAATCAATTTCTTGCCCGTCATTACAATGCTCATGAATGGGCTGAATACCTTATTCGTGAAATGTTAGGATGTTCGCTGCCAAGCGTCTGAAAGAAGATTGTGCAATTCACACTCACAAAGGCCTTGATGGGTAGTGTGCAGTGTTTATAATGACCATTATTATAGGATACGCTGAGAACATAAGGCACACAAACATGAATGAAGAATATCCAGTCTGCGGCCTGCTTCATTGTATGTGCCCTGTTTCGTGAGCCCACTGCATGGTCGTTTCATACTTGAGGGCTCAAGGGCAAGAAATTCTGACAATCTGTTCGACCCCCACTGCACCTGATGAGCTGGGAAATTCACATTGAGGGTTCAGGTGGCCAAGAGGCAGATCCAGGCAAATTCCAAAGTGGAAAAAAAGTAGCCATAGGGCCTCACTGCACTACTCACCAAATGTGCAAAATGAGATTGAATCATCGGCTAGAACATGGAAAGATACATCGCCATAATTTGTGTCTCTTGTGCATGTGGCGAGTAGTGGAGCGAGGCCCATACAGTGGGTGTATGGGCAAAGACTGCCCACACCATCACATTCTGCTATTGAACATGTACGCCAGGTCCAATCCTCGTTTTTCTCGAACCAATCAGCAGGTCCAATCCTCGTTTTTCTCGAACCAATCAGGTGGAGGGCCCGAACCCATCACAGAGACTGAAGGGTTGGCAACAGGTCTCAGAAACGGATAGTACTGGATGAGCAGGATTGCCGCAGCACCGAACTCCGACCTTGAATATCCCATGTATATTACGTTTTTTTTTTCGTTTTTTTTTGGGGGAGGGGGGGGGGGGTTCCTGCTCGTCTTTTTGTGTGTGAGGCATTATTACAAAGCTCTTGCCTCCTTGTCCTTTGGGACATATGTTAAAATTGGAACGATACAGAAAGGGTTAGCATGGCTCCCTGCCCAGGGGAAGAAAGAGAGAGAGAGAGAGAGAGAGAGCAATGCTCTTGCCTCCACCTGTGATGAGGAACTTGTAATATTGTGCTTTTGTGATAGCTCTGTGCCCAGGTGGCAGGTGCAGACAAACTAATGCTCTTTGTTGTGATGTGTGCCCGTGTTGTTGTGGCTCGGTGGGCAGCCTCTTGGGTTTGGAGCGATCACGCGAGATTGCGGCTGAGCTGATTGCGAGAGCAAAGTCACAGCTTGAATGCTATGACCAGAGGAAAGCAGCCCCGTTAAGGTGTTTGGCTGACTTTATTGCCAATCGGGGGAACTGAGATGATGCGCAGAAGCTGTAGCCGTTGTGTATTTGCGGTTTCCTCCCCCCCCCACAAACAGCCTTCTTTAACTGCTGCGGTTACTGTACATCTATCTATAGCCTGGGATGGCATGCCAGGAATTGTGTGCTTGCACTAGGAGCCTGTACCCGTCGTGTATTTTATTCTTCTCCGCCTCGCTGCACTGTTTCTGTTTATATGTAAGTCACTTCTCCGATCCATTTGCGCTGTTTTCCTTGTTTTGAATAATACTTTCAGGTTTCTGATTCGCCGGGCCGAAAGCGTTGTCAATGTCCGTTGCCTACTGCTGTTCCTGGTTTCAGTCGGAGGATCCGATGTGCTTGCTGGATGGAAATATTAGGTCTGACAGGTTTGCGTGCAAATATAGGAGATGGACGGCCAAGGAAGTGTGTGCTGCAGTGGGTAATGAGCACACCTTTCGGGGTTGAGTTTTCTTTGTTGGTTTTCATGTGTTGATTATGGTCCGAGTTATTAAAAAAAAAAAAAAAAAAAAAAAAAAAAGATTATGGTCCGAGTTGCAGGACCAGGTTTGTGAGTTCTGTCCTGAAAGGCAAAAGAGGGTTCTTCAGATATCATTCTCCCTTTGAGAGTGAAGTTTCATTGTTGTTCCTCAATCTTTGCCTTTCTGCTTGATATATGTGCGTACAGTTTCATTATCTGCGTTCTGGTTTTTTTTTTTTTTTTTTTGGATTTAATGATTTATTGCTGTTTCTTTATGATATGGAAGGGCTGCATCGGTCATTGCCGAATCCTATTCTGCGGAGTGCCACTTGTGTTCTTACTCTACCGACAAGTCAGGATGCAATGGGCCTCGCTCCACTTCTCACCAAATGTGCAACATGGGAATGAATCTTTTGCTAAAACATGGGCAAATACACCGCCATATTTCTTGGCTTTTGTGGATGTTGTGCCGCTTGTGCGTAGTGGAGCAAGGCCCAATATTTACACGCTCGAACAATTCCCTTGTTGTGACCAGGGGAGCCACTTACAAGATATTGATTGCTCCCAAAGACAAGGATCAACTGCCAGCTGTGTCCATACGTGTGAATTCAAAATCCTTTCCCGGTAGACATGGAGCACTCCCGAACGAAGCAGACTCGAAGCACAATCCGGGGATGTCCCCTCTCAGCCTGCTATGGCAGGCTGCTTGTAGTGGCCAGATTACCCAGGACTGTCCTGACCCAAATCGAAGCTTCTTTTTTCTTTTTTGAGACACAGTTCCAATCTATTTGCGGGGAGCAGCACGTGCCGGGAACTGGGCCCAGAGTCCTGACCCAAATCGAAGCTTGATGGATGGGAGAGCAGGCTGTTGCCCCGTGTGTGGATGCGGTGGTGGCTTGAAGGAAAAGTATCAGAAATATGATTACGAACAGCACAAGAAGGAATTGCACAAGCAAAACATGGCGGTAAGAGTTACACAACCCTCCCAAAGGCAGGTGGAAATGAGGAAACGATATGGGCAGGATGTAGGCATGCACATTTTGTTGGGGTGGGTGGTGGTGTGATTATATTGACCAGGCAGATGTGGCAAGCAGGGTTGTCGACCCTCGCACCTGCGCCCCTGCGGATGGTCTGGGGACCCGGGGAAGGGACTCCCCAACCCCAGGAGAAATTTCTCCAAAAAAAGAAAGAAATTGGAAAAAAAATCAAGAAAGGAAGACCTCTTGCAGAGAGAAAAAGACAAAGTCAGTTTGGTGACCTCCTGGTCGTCCGCCGGGGATGGGGAGTTGAGGGGCCAGGGCCAGCGCCGAGCCTTGTTGGGG